GTTTTACAAGATATATATATATATAGGCCTATATATATATATATCTTGTAAAACTTATTTTCCTGCATGTACGACCTCGTGTAAAAAATTACAACTTATATCATGAATTGTATGTACGATATCTTGTAAATTATGAGCCTGTAATATATGTGCCGTGAGAACGCAAAATCTATACGTTATTTTTCCTAAATATATAACCCCGTCTGCAGTGTCCATTTTTGTTTTCCACCCCATCTATTTAAAACCATGGAGGAAATCATCTTGATTCGTGACACTTGCTTCGTTCTTAAAATTTACGACGAAATACAAAGCAAACCCAATGTATTCACCACGAAGAAACTCCGTTTTTCTGCAACGTTTTTATTGTTCAACTAAGCGCAACTCAAAAATACAAACACCGTCGATTTGTAGGCGAAAACAAATTACTTCCATAATGAAAACCTGGTAGCAGTAGCAGACGCAGCAGCCGCTGCAGCAGCAGTAACGGCAGCCACCACCGCCGCAGTAACAGCAGCAGCAGCAGCAGTAACAGCAGCAGTAACAGCAGCAGTAACGGCAGCAGTAACGGCAGCAGCAGCCGCTGCAGCAGCGGCAGTAACAGCATTAGCAGCAGCATTCCTAGCATCGCGTGCACGTTCTGGCTCTTAAAACCCCTTCATCGCATCTCCTCGTCTAATCCACGAAACAGCGGATGATTAACCCTCTCTCGCGTGCCACCGCACTCCGGCCGCCGCATTCCGGCCGCTGAAGATCGAAGCCTCGCGCGGCGAGACGCCGACAATCCGAGATCGAGACACGGCGACGCCGACGATGTCTCGCGTGCAGATGAAGCCGTGCATTCGTCTGTGCTGGATTCACACGCGGCCCTTATCACCACTACTACTACCACCACCACCACCACCACTACCACTACCTCGCCACGCAATGGCGCCGTTAACTTCGTCTCACGTCTGCCGCGAGATTACGCGTGTGCACGCGCGCGCAGCCGCTCACATGCGGGTCGATCTGCTGCCAGAAACATCACGACTACAGTTAAGTCACCGCAAATCGAAATACGTCACGGCTTTTGCAGTGAAGCGTACCGCAAAAAAACACGAGCAGCAGTTATGACAGTTATCGACTTAGACGATGGTCATGACTGCTGGTGATTTTTCGCGACACCCTCCCCCGCCGCCCTTCCCCATCAGCCAGCAACAACCAGCGACGCGAGATATCGCCGAGGAAGCCTCCCAGCTTCGTCGAGAAGCGCAACATGCCGCGCGCAATCTCGCGAGACGAAAACACCGGATTGCGAGTCGAGAAAGCCGAGATGCTGCCGATGCTACGCTGCACTGACCACGCCGCGACTGCTTGACCGGTTACCGTCCGGATCTATTGGATCATGCGTCAAGCATTCAAAGCGGTCGCGATACCAGGCACCCAATATTGTATGACCGCTCGAAACAAAAAATATTTAAAATGTGCCTCTTCCGATTAAATACCGATCAAACCTGTGTGTGAGCGAAACACTCAAATGAATCTCCAAATGTGTCTTTTAAAGACGAGAGAGTCCGTTCTATAAAGGTGACTTCACAGCATAACCGTCGCTCGAGGAAAACACGCCAAAGGTGTCCTTTATAGACAGGTGTCTGTTTCATGGGCGTGACCACTAACACAGGTTTGACCGTATGCTAGGAGAACGGAGACGATGACTATGTGAAAGCTCCGTGCGTGTAGACAGTCATGGTTCGCGGCTCGCGAAAATTTGTCTAAGCATATGTATCTCTGCATCATTCTCCGACCCTCCGGCGGCGGTCGCGCCCCGCGAGAGATGTTCACTTCTTGGAGCAAGCCATCGAGGTCGAGAAGAGCGTCACTTGTTTCTTCTTGCCCCGCTTCTTCTTGCCGCCGCTAGATGGTGCTGCAGCAACATCGGCTCCGACTGCGAAGCGAAATATTGTCAGGCGTTACGTACGCTCGAGAGATTCGAATCAATTAACAATTTAAAAAAATATATTATTATGTAGTTAAAGTTTAATCAATTAATCAATAATATTTCCAAAATTTACCTAATGTTATTTTACGCAAATCTAATTAGCACGTCGTTAACGTTAATCGTTAATTATTCGTTGCGTCGCGTGCGCTCACCCGACTGCTTCGAGACCTCTAGTTTCTCCAACGCCAGAGCGATGGCGTCGGCGTAGCTCGACTGATACTCCGGAGCCGCGTACTCGCCGCCGTCGTCGTCGTAGCCGGCAGCGCCCTCTACTGGCCACGCTCGCTCGCCCGCAACGGTCGTCTTCGCGGCTGGCCACTGATCTGCCTTCTTCTCGCCGGCTCTCAGCATCTGTCGACGAGCAAGAGCGAAACTGAGACGCGACGCTCGAGAAACGCGTTAATGTTGTCGAAAACTTGTTCGTGGTAAACGAGTCCACGTAAAAGCAACTGATAGTTATTCATAACGATCCATATATGAGCTCAAGAAAAAATAACTATATTTCTACAGGGTTAGAAATTAACTTTTGATCACGGGAGTCCAACGGACTCCCTATCCTCAAAAAGAGGAAGTCCGCAGCAAAATGAGGGAGTCCGTGGTCTGAAATTCGAAATTAAAGATTTGCTGAAAAAATACTGTAATTCCGCGAGGCCGTTCTCTGGAACGAACTAGTTAGTACAGTAGAATTTTCAGGGAGTCACACGGACTCCTGCATATGTCAAATCAGGGAGTCCGGCAGTAAATCAGGGAGTATTTGACTCCGGACTCCCGTTAATTTCGCATCCTGTTTCTATGCGACGCTCACAAAAGAAGTGACGAATGTCATCGACACTTTGCTCTCTGGTAAACAGTCCAGCTTGTCATGTGAGAGATACTTGATAGTTATGCGTAACGATCCATATACGAGCTCAGGAAATAATAACTATACTCAGGTGGGCTTACAAGTAGATTATAGGCGGATTTAATGCACGCACACCCCATTGTAACGGCTTCACGACAAATTATATTCGTCGAAGTCTTTGAAAACTTCTTTAATTTCGTTCCAGTCCCAATTACTCCCCGTTGTAATGGCTTCACGACAATTATATTCGTCGAAGTTTTCGAAAACTTCTTTAATTTCGTTCCAGTCCCACGAGTTGATATGCTGTAGAGGCCAATCACCCTTACAGGAAATTGCAGTAGCTAGTGTCATTGTCTAGTAGCTAGTACTATAACTTATAGTATATTAGAGAAGTACATCATATCAGAATAGCTAATATTATAGTATAACAGTTAGTATTGTAAGTTATAGTGTATAGGAGTAGCTAGTAACAAAGTCGAACTTTCTTGGTGGCTCACCCTAGCAGTGGCACTATACAGCAACAAGCTCGGTGGGCAAACAAGAGAACGTACCTGCGCGAACGAGGGGACGCCACCATCGCTCGAGACATTGCTGCCTGGGGACGTGCTCACTGTGGGTTGACCGGGACTCACGCTGAGGCCTGCAGAGACATCGGTCGTTGTTACAGAGCGCTGCAGCAGCGGCTTCGCACACACACGCACACACGCGCACGCACGCACGCACACACGCGCGCACACACGCTTGCACGCACGCACGCACACACGCG